TGAGCTACCATTTTTTTTGAGAGCATCTCCGGAGGCGTGGTTTGTTCAGATCGAGTTGGCTTTCAATTGCAATCAGGTGCATTCAGACACGACGCGTTTTAACCTTGCTGCCACAGCCTTAAGCAGTGAGGTTATGCAAGGACTTTTCGACGTTTTGCACGCCTTTTTGGAACCAAAAAATATGTCTACTTCAACAGGCATGTGCTTGCGCGATCTGCCGATACTGAAGAGAAGCGCCTTCAAACCCTCTTCACACAGCAGCAAGTAGACAGCTGCACTCTATCGGTGCTGTTGCATCACATGCACTTCCTTGTAGGCACCAAGGTCAGTAACGAGGTGCTCCAAGACAAGTGGCTGGACCTTCTGCCAGTATCTACCCAAAGGATACTGCGCATCTTTTGGAACACCACGCTTGACAAACTAGCAGGGGCTGCTGATCACGTGTCAGACTCGCCCACGTCGGTAGATGCCATTCGGCCCCATGGACATCTCCTTCGCCGTTTTTGCATACAAAGTATTATCATTTTCCTTTTACAATGACAATTTATTTTAAAGCATTCTCTCATTTAGCCCTACAAGATGTAAAAAAATCATCTAGACGCCATGACAGCATATCCAGACGTCCTAGAGAGCTAAGAAATACTTATACAAAAGTAAAAATACAATTTTGATATAAAAAAATGTGCTGCAACATTGCTGAATGTATACAAAAATAAAAAAATTATTTCACACAAGGACAAGAGAACCTATAGTAATGACAGACACACCATTCAAAGTATTTTATAAAGTCGATATAGATTCAGTAGGCTCTTTTGCTTAAAGAACATATTTTAACAATGCGATGCCTAAAAATTTTTACGTTGAAGTGCCTAGTCCTAAAAAATAAGTGGTAACCATAGGTAATATTTGAACAAAATATTTTTTTGTAACTTTAAACATGCTGGAAATCATTTTTAGCGATGGATCAAAAAGTTTTATCAACTAAGTAATAAAAAAAGTATAAAAAATTGCTTGTTTTTGATTTGCTATAACTAATTCATACTATCCACAATGAAGTAGTTTATTGGAAAAAAATTACATTGTGTTAAATGATATAGTCCCCTTCACAAAGCATGAATATAATACATCAGTTCATTCTACAACAAACTTCACCTTAGCTTTGGAATTCATATTTCGTAGATGGGCACGTTCTCCGACTCAACTTCTCCACGAATTTCAACTAGAAACCTACACCTTATAAAACAGTGACTTTGCCCACTGTTCACATAGAATTCAAAAAATTTGCTCATAGTAGACTTAAAATATCAAAACAAAGTACAAACTCACATTATGACAATAAGTTTGAACCACAAAACATAGAAGTTGGAATGACAGTCTATGTACTTAAAGAACCCCTGTAGCTGACAAAATCAGCTTCACGCAAAGAAAGAAATATCTTTGGGAAATTATCGAATTTTTCAAGGCTATTTATTTCTGCCAAACAAAAAGTGACTCACAGTCATTGAAGTTAGTGGCAAAACTGAACGTTTCGAACCAAAATCAACATCGTTTTTACATGATAACACTCGTCATTTTCATTCGAACACATTTATCTTATTTCACTACACATACATGACAGACAAACTTTCACATATTTCACTTTAAAAACATAAGCTTGATTTATCCAGAACATCCTCCCCCCGTACAAACATTAGGTTTGTACCATATATTAAAACTGAATAATGTGGTAGGGGTATGAGTAGTTTCATAGAGTCGAACAATTCAAGCTTAAAATCATGATAAATTATAAATAGTCTACGATTAATGGGTGGGTTCATTTAATTCGTAGAAAACAAATTGATATCAAAAGATGAAGTCTTTCATTCAACAACTTAAAATGTGCCTCACAGCTAACCGTCCGTAACAAGCCTCTACGCTTGTTACCCCGTGCCCCTAGGATCTACAGGAGATGTGCTCCCGATAACTCTCAGAGTTTTTGTAACACTACAGCTCACACAAACGACTCCTTTCAATCGTGAGTGTTGAAACGACTGTCTTTGCAAACACTTTTCAATTTTTTAAATAATACAAAATTTCTCATTTTTAATTCATATGTCAACAGCCATAATTATTTAAAATAAAATGTGTTTCAAACTACAATCCATCGTAAACCAGAGACTCCTTAGTGAGTATCACTGCCAATCAAGCCACAGATTGATCTCACTTTCGATCTCTCTGTCCAAGTGCCAAGCTCATCGAAACAAAAGAGAACTTCTCTTGAACCGTTTTTTTTTTTTTTTATTAGCTGTAATAAGCGACTTCTGGAAGATTCTTACTATGATTCATCAAAGATACAAAAATAAAAACATGCTCTTTTGTTACTACTAAACGTGTCACAATCGTATCACATTCATGCTGCACAAACAAGCATCCAAACTTCATGTGCATTCACATGTTTATCTCATATCCTAAGCAATCTACACCTTATAACGAATGTTATACTAAAACTATACTAAACTATACTAAATTGACAACTAGAAATAGTAGAATCAAATGACAGACAATTTTGAAAATCTCGATAATATCAATAATTGATGTGCTAAGCCTACAAGAGAAGACTTTGCTCGCATGAGGTCAACTAATACGGCTTTCCACCAAGGAAATCTCAACCTCCCTTACGATAGGCTTTGTCTCGCCAGCACTCTCAGACCTTCACTGCTCGAGAAGCGCATCTCTGCCGTCGCGATCTGGGTTGATCCCAGAATACATGTCCAGGTTTTTCACTGCTCGGGGTGCGCTCCCCTGCCATCGCGAACCCGGTATCCTAAATCACGTAACCACTGACTGGCCCGGCCTCTCCCGCCATGCGTTTACCAACCATGTTCACGGTGGATCACCAGTCAGTGACACGGCTGACGAGACTACCATACTTAAAGCAAATTTGATTCATGCTCATAGACAATCAATTTAAATTTACACATCCATTTGAATTAAATGCTCCCACTCAAGATTACAATATGCACAGTACTCTGATTACAAATATTCAAAACGTTACGGTAGCAGAACATTTATTTTTTAAAGACGCATGAAAAAGGGAATTATGTTACCGACATGAAACTTAATGATGTTGGAGATGCAATAAAATACATTTCACCTTTACATAGTCGGGTAACAATGTTACTTACGCGCTTGTCCCATAATTATATTTTAGCACAATAAAGACAAATAACGTGGTGTGTACGACCTGAATGCAGCTGCAGGTATATTACTTTCAGGAAAAGAACGCAACATGCACAAGCGTACAGTTCCTCAGGAAAATCAGGAAAATAAGGAGATAGCCAACGTGGATCATGAAGACGAGGAGACGGCGTGCGCGAACGCACTGTCGCTTAGCAGGATCCAGACGACGAGGACACGGCGTGCGCGAACGCACTGCCGCTTAATAGGATCAGGACAACGAGGAGACGGCGTGCGCAAACGCACTGCCACTTAGCAGGATCCAGACGACGAGGACATGGCGTGTGCGAACGCACTGCCGCTTAATAGGATCAGGACGACGAGGAGATGGCATGCGCGAACGCACTGTCACTTAACAGGATCAGGATGACGAGAAGACGGCGTGCGCAAATGCACTGCCGCTTAGCAGGATCAGGACGACGAAGAGACGGCGTGCGTGAACGCACTGCCGTGTAGTAGGGTTAGGGTGACGAGGTGACAGCATACGGTATGGTGCACGAGATCATGTAGGAGTTGGTGGTGGTGGCTCGTCCTCTGCATCGACGATGCTGTTGCTTCCACTGTCACGGTCACTGGTGCAGTCGCTGCTGTCATTGTTGCTGCAGTGCTGTGTTCTTGAAGTGTTCTCTGGAGCTGCTTGCTTTCTTTTCCCGATGTTCTTTTTTGCGAATTCCGGATACAACTATAAGTCCCGGGTTTCGGCACCAAAATGTAGCTGACAAAATCAGCTTTGCGCAAGGAAAGAAACATCTTTGGAAAATTATCGAATTTTTTAAGGCTATTTATTGCTGCCAAACAAAATGTGATTCATAGTCATTGAAGTTAGTGGCAAAACTGAACGTTTTGAACCAAAATCAACAACTTTTTTTTTACATGACAACGCTCGTCATTTTCATTCGAACACATTTATCATACTTCACTACACATACATGACAGACAAACTTTTACACATTTCACTTTAAAATTATAAGCTTGATCTACCCGGAACAACCCTGGATAAGAAAATTAGATAAATTTTATAACGAAACTTTTGAAATTGAAGCAAAACATAGCAGTAATAACATTATATTAGAATCGGGAAACGGAAGAATAATTAACAAACATATCGGCAAAGGAAAATGCTACTATCTATAGAAAAAGAATCTTTGTTTGTTAAAGGTTTATCCAATAAAAAATATTAGTAACATAATTAATACTAAAACTTCTCAGTGCGACCCTATAAATTCTGTCAAAACTAATAAATTATCTAAATTTGGCTACATAAAAGTATACAATAATTGATTTTATCGACATTATCAAAATATACATTTTACTATTAAAATAAACAGGTCGAACAAAGCTTTCGAGCAGAGTACTCAGAGACCCACGAAGAATAATTTATAAATACGCTTGAGACCATACTTTCAACAAGTCTTGTCATAGCACAAGTACAGAGAATACAACCTTTTAATGGAGATTTAAAAAAAGTAGTAAAAAATAGCAAGTGTCTCAGTTTATTTAAAAAATGCTGCAGTTTCACATTAAATGATGCAATAGGACTCACTGTTATGCAACTGTGCTTAAAAATGTTCCTTAAACATCGCAGATTGAAAGATAAAGTTTTCATTTCTACTCTAATTAGAAAACAAATAATAAAGAAAACAGTACTAGAGTATCGCTAATAACATTTATTTAAGAAAATTAAATTCTTTTTAAAATTTCACTATTAGATAGAGTATTTTTTTACGGCTTATAACAGAAGTATACGCTCACCAAGTAAAGAATGAAAAGATAAACATACTTACTTTTTATTAATGCTATGCTTAGAAGTACCCATTGTTTGCGTATAGAGATTAACTAAGGGTTCGATATTCTGTTTCTTGAAATTTTTGTGCATGGGCAATGCTTTAAAAGCTTCATGAAAAAGATTAATGATCCTATTTTGATAAACGTTAAGTACATAGTTGAATAAATTGCACCGAGCCGCTGCAAGTAGTTCTACTTTTTGTAAGCAATCCATCGAGAATCTGTCAAATTTTTTTTTTTTTCTAGAATAAAAACAGAAATTTAAAAATGAAAAGTATCAATTATGAAATTATTAATCTACTCTACTAATAATAAGCATTTTATTACATACAAGATTTAAAATTTCATTTAAAAAAATTTTTGGTATCCATCTCTCTTTTCATCTCCCTCTTTTTTTACTTCTAAGATTGACTTAAGTTATGACTATGTTACGTGGAATATAGTTATATGATCTCAAAAAGCCAACCGAAATCAAATAGCGATGAACACTAAATAACATTTACTGATGATGAATAGTTATTTACGTAACAAGTGCGGAAAAGACGATTTCCCGCACGAGTAGTGATTGACTCACACGAGTGCCGGAGTTGACGGGAACGAGTACCAGTTGAGCACACGAGTGCATAGCACGAGTGTGATCGCAAGGTACGAGTTACCGTCACCGGCCACGAGTGCGATTCTATCACACGAGTGNTTACTATTACAACGACTACTATTACTATTATTATTATCATTTCGAACAACATAATTTTCATTGTTTTCACGTAGCCCCATCGCTTCCCTTATAAATTCGTGTACAAAAACATAATTCTGTAACAGTATGCGTTGCTCAAAATTATAAGAGGTCATTTTGCGTGTCGCAAGCCCAGTGAAGCTCCGAGCCACTGCTGATCAAGCCGTGAACTAACTTTTGTGTGCATAGTTATACGTATATAATAACACTGAACTTTACTAGGCTTCATATTCACCAACATATCTCAGAAAAGCACAGTAGATTTACAAAAAGGTATTTATAAGTTTAGACTACTTCAGTTTTGACTCTTAAACTGTTTCACAAAGATCTTTTCATTTTCTTGACTTCAAAAAGCAACTGAAAAAATGAAGTATTTAACTGATTCAAATGTTGGGGATTGGCGTATGGAGCGCGCAAGGGGTCGGAGCTCCACTAGTTTGTATATATGTATAATCTCACGACAGTCTAAGCCGATAACTGATTACTTTAAAAAGTTACCTGATATTATTTAGCGTTACAGGCTCTTAGCTTGTATTTTTGTGGGATCGAATTTAAAAATTTTCGAACCTGCAGCACTAGCTTACTGGAATGGAAAAATCTGAAAAAATTCTTGCAACATCCTCGACCTTCGTACTATACAAAATTCATAAGATTTTGGTCCCACAACTTTCACAGTATCCAACTTTTGGTCACAATTTCGTTTGGCTGTTAATATTGCGTTAAAATGTGGTTTGCGTTAAGAATTTGAAAATTTTATGTCGCAGAAGAATAAAAAACTTAGTATTTTGATTCCAGATGTTATCAAAACTATGAATTTATAAGTTTGCCACGAGACCGCAACGCTTATATAGCTTCTTTTTTTGCATGTAAAACTAAAAGAATACTTTTTGATGCCAGGATTCTGTTGTACGTTTAGCTGTAAGTATCCCTTAAATGATTAAAAAAATTTTCAGATAGATATCTCCTGAAACGACATTGTAAGTAACTGGGACATGAAATATGCCATTTTCAGCGGAATAACCCATATCCATAAAACTTGACCAATATTTTTTGATAATCAACCTGACGTACCACACAGAATTTTTCATGCAGATTTCCTATTGTATCTAGTTTCGTATATACTAGATAAATTTCATGTTAAATATTACCCATTGTGAATACCAACGTCTGCACTCCAAGCTAATATTTTATTATAGTTTTTTGTAATAGCAATTTGTAAAAAATTGCATGATTTTTCGAAAATTTTTAAAAAAGTTTATTTTTTTAAACTGATAAAGTTAGAATAATTTTGAAACAATACGGCAAAACTGCAACATAATTTTTATATTGAAAAATCAAGACAAAAATTATACGTTTTTGAATTAAAATCTGCTTAATAAATCTTGAGATACACCGATTTACGAATACACATATTCTTATACCCCCACGCATTAACTTTTTTTATCTAAATACTATTTTTTGTACGAATTTCATCCTTCAGATTTTGTGATGCCACAAATGCTTTAGCACTGGAATCTATGTTTGAAATTGACTCAAGAAATAAATAGTTAACGAATTTAAAATTATCGTAAAAGTTGGATACGGAAATTTGAGGGAATCAGTCAGAAAAGCCACAAATATATTTAATGGGATGTACTTATAGCTTATAGCTTGGTCTAGTTATTTTAAACGCAAGCAATGTTTTTATATTTAATGCTTATCTTATTTTTATTGCTAATACGGCCTATAAAGTGATTTAAATCAAATACAATGCACTGTTAATGTTTTGTAAATGATGAATTTAATGGAGATATAATAGTTTAATTCAAGTATCTACAATACTTATTTATGTAAGTTGTACACACGTATATTCTATGGCTTTTACTCTTAATCAGCATTATGACACGTGATACTTTTTGTTTGTGGGTTCCACGCACTACGCCCACGCTCGTCATGCTGCCTAAGCTCGCAAATCATACTTTATTTGTATCGTTACATCTTATGCATCATATTTGTAAAACCTGGAGTGCTGTGGCATGCATTTACGGATACTATGCATTACTTATTTCTCACTGATACAGTGTGAATACTGCTTATGCTGTAATTACTTAGATTTTTTTTACGTGTATGAGTGCGCTGCCAGAGATGTTGACTGGCGTGTCCAGGAATATTCAAGCTTAGTAGTTGGTCAAGACTGGGAGCACTGTCGGTAAATGTTAGTATTACATACCAGTGCAACGCCTGGAAGACGTTGACATATACATCTTAGAATATTTAACTATAGTAGCTGGGGAACACAATGGGCACAATGGGTACGTATCAGTACGCTGCTGTCGACTAACATGTCTAAGAGTATCTGACTTTAGTAGCAGGATAATGGAGGGAGCGCTGCAGCTATATATCAATGCGCTTTCTTGAAGACTTTAACTGGTGTGTCCACGAGTGCTCGAGTTAAGTAGCTAGGTAACACAGAGGTCACCGTTTGTAGATATAAGTGCTTCATCTCAGGGACATCGACTAGCGTGACCACAAGTGTTCGAGTGTAGAAGCTGAGTAAAATGAAGGCACTGTGGGAAGAAATGAGTGGGCTACCTTTGAGACGTTGATTAACGTGTTAAGGAAATACCGATTTTAGTTAATGAGCACCACACAAGGCGCTGCGGGTAGATGTAAGTTCGCTACCTTGGGGACATTGACTGGCGTGTCTAGGAGTAATCGAATTCAGACAAAGTTGCCCGAAACGATAAAAAATTTGATGCTAAACGCAACCTTCAGGCCATATGTCAATGAAGCCCAGTGAAGCTCCGAGCCACTGCTGATCAAGCCGTGAACTAACTTTTGTGTGCATAGTTATACGTATATAATAACACTGAACTTTACTAGGCTTCATATTCACCAACATATCTCAGAAAAGCACAGTAGAGCTGAGTTTAACTATACGTACTAAGTCAAGTCACAGCTTCATCAATCAATATGCTGAGCTCTACTNTTTTTCGCCCGAGGAAGTACCAGCCTCCCAAAACCACCCGAGGGCGGAAAAATTTATTAACTTTGCTTTATTAATCAGTATTGGTCTCCGTTAATCAGATTTACAATTAAATTTTAAGCCTTGGACACAGACTCTAAAATTCTTTTGAAGGGAGAATTTCAGCTTAACTTGTTTAAGGAAGTTTACTGGATGTAAGTTTATAAAAACAGGGTTTAACTATATAACTGTCGAGTACATGTACAAGAAGATAACATAGATAGACTAGTGCAGCTTAAGTTGTTTATAAGTACTTTAAAAGCATTACTGATATAGTAACGGTTTTAGAGGAGTTGATGTTTCTGTATTACTTCCGCGAAGTATTGGAAAGTGTATTTCTCTGCTACACACCTTAGCACAGAAAAAAAACAATATTTACTGCTGATAGTATTACCTACAACCATCGTTTGATTACTGGCGCACAAATGATAAAACAGTAGTGCATCGACTACAAGATTGAGATTAGTGCAGCCGCTTTTTTCAGTACAGAAGCTATTCATTTAGTAACAGCAGTGAAATATAGTATGGGATACTGTCTCCAGCAGCTAAGTGTGTAATTCACGCAAAGTTAGCGTGAAAAAGCGTTTTACTTTCTGAAGTTTTAAAAAAAATAGTATTATTCTATTCTACTGGCAAAATTGTAACAAATTACTGCATTGTTTTATGTTGCAATATTATTTCGTAGAGTACTTTTGGTTCATATGTTAAAGTATGAATGTCATTGTCCACATAGGGTACATTTTTATGGTTCTACAAAAAGTCTGATCAGCGACAATCCCCACTGTTGTTATTATTGTATTATAATATAAAATTCAATTTTAACACATACATTTATTATGTCATACACATATCTATAAAATAACAACAACAAAAAACATCGTGCTTATCTGTTTGCATCATGAGCAGTGTGTAAAAAATATAAATAAGTGTGTTTCAATAATCATATACCAAGTCCAATTATTATCAGGAGGAACCATCGATAAAGATTGTGTTAAATAAATCTTAGATGGAAATGAAGAAAATTTTGACTCCGTATGAGAAGGGGCTAAGGAGGGGCTTAAAAATTGTGGCAAAAGAATGAGGAGGGGCAAGCAGGCTAAGGAACAAATAGATGGACAGCGAAGTGAGTTGTGGGGGGCCAAGAAAAGCGTGGTAAGAAAATTGGCAGGGGGACGGGCTTCTGGGCGCAAGATCAAATTAAGTAGTGGTTATGGTGGCCGAGGGGAGACGGTAATCAAGATTTTGATTAAGTTGAAATTACATTGGAATAAAAACAATTTTTTCTCATTTTGATGGGGCTGCCGGTTAGGAAGTTACAAAAAGCGTTAAAAAAAATAATGAGGGGGTGCGAGCAATCGTAAGAACTAATTGAGGGGTAGCGAGGCGACTGCTGAAGACTAATAGAAAATTTCATTGGATTTGTTTAACATCGGAAGAAAAACAGTTTTGCCTAGTTTTAAAAAGGGACTGAGAGAGGACTGATGGTTGGCTGAGGGGGGAAGAAA